GTTGTGATTTGTCTTGTCTTCTGTAGGATTACTGTTTACATTCCCTCTGTGTATACTTACGTGTGTGACAGTATGCATGTGTGTCTGTGTGCGCGATTCAGGTCAGAGGATATAGTGGTAGCAATAAAAGCTAGGACGGGGTCGCTTGATGTTTTTATGAAGCGAGTCTGTTTGGAAATGAATCGTTAGTCTCGGTTTTATTGCTCAAATTACCCGAGCCGGTCCTTGTCCTGTTTGCCCTTAATTAACAAGCGTTCAATTCCCCTAATAATTAGCACAAGCTATTAGCTATTTTACATCACTCTTCATTTGTCGACAATTAAAAAGGTCTATTATTAAAAGGCATGCCACATGGTTAATTGGACAAAGTGGCTCAGCGGCAGGGGAAGCGAGGGAAGAGGAGACTGAACGTAGGGAGGAGTCAGCGAGGTCTACTGGAGTTCTCACACAACCTTTACAGTCTGTCTGTCTTCAGTTTGCTGTCTGACACTCCTCCTCGAGAGAGACCATCTTCCTCACTACTGTCACACACTCACTGCGTTCGGACCCAGACGGCTCGACTCAGAAGTGCGGCGGTTAGAGGGTGGGAGGTGTGTGTGTGGCACTGGATAAGTTTTTTTTTTATAAGGCTGACAAGTTAAATTTCCTCCATGCTGCAGGACCTATGTGTAGATACTGTAACATCATTTTGGTCTCTTTCTATAATTCCTCTTGCATTTACAATATAATTACAACAAGTACAGAAAGGTTTGTATCAATTAATTAACACTTGTTGATGTGTTTTTATAATTTCTCTTCATAATAAGACATAGCAGAAATGACATTTTGACATTAGCTGAGGTCTGATATGCATGTATGGGAAATCCAAACATTAAGGGATAACAGTGGATAGATAACAAGATAACAGGACACAATTATTAGAAGAAATAAAAACTGCGATAGTAAGTAAAAAGGTGAGAGGACAAACAGGCAGGAAGCGAGTTTTCGGGGAGAAATACTATAAAAACAGACAAAGGTGAGCAAGGAGAGACACACAGGGCAGTGGAGGTATCCTTCCTTATTCCCTCACCCCTCCTCACCCCTCACCCTCTGCTAGGGCTTAACAAGTAACAGGGGAAGGAGACAGGCCAGAGCTGTGCTGATTGACAGAACAATTACTGCTAACACGCAACCCGATGGAGAGGCAGACATCTCCAAATAGAATTTCACTATGCTGTTGCATCACACGCTTACAGGAAGGATTTTGGTAGGAAAGCAAAATTGCCCTGACTGACTGACTGACTGACTGATTGACTGACTGACTGTCTGTCTTTCTGCCTGTGTGACTGACTTAGAGCTGAGCACAACTGCTAGAAAAGCACTCCTCTGTTTTTTTGTTGTTGCCTCTCATAAAAAAGGGAGGAAAAAGCATTTACCCTTGATCAAGGTTGGCTGGTTCTAACTTTAGAAGCAATGTTTGGCAACCCATTTCCTCCAACTCTGACTGTTCATCTGTTACCTCAGTTAGAGGTGTAGCTATTTTTATCCACACACCTACTGACTGACGAAGAAGTGCAGAGTTAATTAAAAGAGACATCACACATCAGAACATTGCCAATATATTATAGATCACGGATCTAATGAGCTAGAAATGATGACACGTATTTTAGATTTGATTTAGGTTGAAATAATGTTAATGTTAAAACTATATGTAAACTGCATTTGAATCATCTTTTATGCGTCACTGGACAGGAAGTTTTGTTGTAATATATTTTAAATTAGACATAGAAGAGTTTTAAAGATGAGTTGATTAATCAATTACTTAATCAGCAGAAACTTAATCAGCAAATATTCATATAGTCATTTTTCAAGCAAAAACACACAAACATTTTTTAGTTTCCGGTTCATAAATGTGTGAAACTTTGTTGCTTTTCTCTATTTAATGCAATTTCAAGATGTCACCTTGAGCTTTGTGAACTGATGGATATTTTATTCACTATCTTTAACATTTCACAGACTGAATAATTGACTAATTCAGAAAACAATCTTCAGATTAATTGATAATGAAAATAATTGCTGACAACTGTAGTGTTGGAAAATATTGTCTGCTATCATACTGTGCCCTCTCCTCCTACCCGGCTCCACACGGGACTCCGTATGAAGCATCTGTTGGTTGATGCAATCAGTCTCATGCAGCCATCCTGGCCATTACCCCACCCTACGGCATTCCGGCCTCCAACAGCTGCATTACACCACGCTCTCTGACTTTCTAATTAGCTTATCTCGGAAAATAAGGATGCTGGGCAATTCTTTGCTCTAGCAGTCTAACATCTAGCAGGCAGCAGGGAGCATGGTTGGCACCTAGTGCCACCAAGGGGGCTGTTGTCTATGATAGATGAGAACAAGAAAATATGGTTTACTCTCTTTCCTCTATCTCAAAAACACTTTTTC